CAATTACCCCAAAAAAAACTGACTAGAAGTGCTAATAAAAGTCAAAAGATAATTTCCGAATAGAGTAACTCACTTTAAAGTAGGTGCATTTAAATGCCAGTAGATTGAAGATGAATCAAATTTGTGTCATACGTTTGTATAGGTATGCACATATTCATCAGCCTGCCTACATTCTTCGCTAGCCTATTTTTCCGTTTCATCATTCATCCGGTATTTTTGTTGGCATTTTATTTCCGTTCCTTTTCAGCGCTTTTATGTTGCATGCAGCATCAATTTAATTTTGCACAGACATCAACTAAAAACTTTTGCAGAAAAGTGTACGCAGCACGCCCATATGTACACGCCATTGTATGTATGTATGAATGTACATAAATAAGTATGTATGTATGCATTTGTTCACATACATAAATATCCCACCGCTAAACAGGATGTGGAGTGGCAGCTGCAGCACCAGGAAGATGACGTAAAGAAGTTGAAAAAATGGCGGTAGTCATGGCAGCGCGCAAATGTCAAATGCTCTCAAGTGAATTGGCAAGCCTTAGGAGCTGTTCAGGATATTTTCGGTCAATTCGCATTTTTATATGCTGTGCGCTTACTAAAATAAAAAAAAAGAAAGGAAACATTCATACAACTGCAACGGCAACGGCAACGACAACTGCAACTTTGACTGTAACTGACTGACTGATAAATTGAGAATTTTAAGATTTTCGAAAGTGCATTTTTTAAACTTTTTTTCTCTGTTCTTTTTTCATCCATTTCTCGCTAGATACTTTACGTACAAGAAAACTTTCAACATTTAACTTATTCAAAAGTATTTCATTACTTGACTTTACCATTTAAGTTTATGAAGAGTGAAATTGGAAGGCAGTAAATGGTTGGATGTAGAAGAGTAGGGAGAGTGCACAAAGTCTAAGCGGAGCCCATTCTACAAACATACATATGTATGTATATAGTTGGATGCAGAGACAAATGCGTTGAATGAGAATGTGATTTATAACTGTACTTACATACATACTTAGGTACATATGTACATACTTATAAAATATACTTTTTGTAATATTTTTAATTTGCCAAAAAGTACATTGTGAGATTAAACACATTTTAATGGCAGATTGATAAAGTTGTAAATCAAATGCAATCGCTCGCAAGCTTGCGTCTCACAAGTTAAACAATCGTCTAAAAGTATGTCACCAGCAAATTGCAATAAACTTAAGTGAAAGCGTAGAATGTAATGTAAGTATCTAGATATGTACGTATAAAATTAGCTTGTAGGATGCTGGCACAAAAGGAAGGAATTTCAATTTGAATTTAATTTCAAAGTAGATGGATACAAAAAGCTTTCATTTTTCGAGACAAGAGAAATGTATGTATGTATGTGAGAAAAACTAAATACATTCACATACATACAGTGGCGGTCAAAAATATTCGTTTTTAATATTTACCATGTTTTTCAAGCTAAATTTTTTTTTTTGATATTTTTTATAAAAATCTGGTTCGGGCTTTAACAAAAACAAATTTTTACCTAATTTCGAGCTTTTTAACCAGAATTTTTAGAAGTGTTTAGGGTATGCAGTTAACAGTCTTATAAAATTTTGGTAAAATAAGTGCGAGTTTGGCATGAACCATCATTTTATAAAAAAAATATTAAAAGAAGGTTAGCTTGAAAAACATTGTAAGCATTAAAAACGAGACACCATTCATCCATTTTTGACCGCCACTGTACTTTTATAAAAGTATGTATGCACGTATCTATGAAAATTAAAAGCTAAAGGCGTTAGAACTTTTGAAATCAATTATGAGTTGAGTATGAGGAAGAATGAGCCTTTACAAAACAATAAAATCAAATACATGCGATTAAATATGAGAAATGGATTCATACGTAACATTCATATTTCAATATTTCAATGTTTCATATGCAAATATTGTACATATTGTTAACGTAATACTAGGTTTAAGTGTTTCCCTTCTTTTTTGAACTAGACTCAAAGGAGTCGTAGTAAATAAATAAAGAAATTAGATAGCGTTTGGGCTGGAACTATTCGTATCATTTCGGAGATTCGTGTACATATATAAAATCCGGATATCCAATGAAAATCCGTTCATTTCTTGTTCCATAAATCCGGTTAGTATGCATTCACATAGTTATCTGGATTAAGTCAAGTCCTGGCATTGCGGAAGTTGCGTTCGAACAGTTCGTTTAATTTTTTGTCGGATAAAAAGTTATAATTTAAACATTTTTTAAGGTATAAGGAAAGATTCAAAGCAGTACTTACGAGAGCAAAATTGTGGAAATATAATTCAAATTATTGGCGACAAGATTCAAAAAGTCTTTATCAATCTTTGCCAGACACCGTCGATTGATCCAATATTTTAGAGAAGCTATCTTTAAAAGTTTCGGATCATAAATTGCAGCATATTCAATTTTTTTTTTTTTAATATTTTATTATTTTATTTTATTGGATTGATATAAATAAATAAACAAAAATCAATAACAATATTATTCTTGTAAAGAGATGGTTGTAGGTATTAACTTGGAGTAAATTAGCGTCCTTAGTTATTGAAATATTGGAATTTTAGTACCTCTGAAATTTACAGTTATATGGGAAGGGGCTTAATTTCGGTCCGATTTCAGAAATTATTCAAGAAAAACAATATTTTTTGTACCAAGGGCAATAACTGTCTCATCATCTGTCATTTATTGCTAAAGGATTATTGCAAAAATCTATGTTGCCCATTTCTCAAAAATTGCATAATTGCTTACTTTATGCCGAAATTATACTTCACATTCCAATTTTCCACACTTTGGAAACAGTATTTACGGAAATATCGCAGTTTTTGATTTTTTTTTTTAAATGCCGTTATGTGGGAAGAGGGCCCATTTTTGATGCCAACCCACCTTAGGTAAAGAGTAACCTTTGTAACAAACTTTCTTGAGATAACTCAATTTTGCTGGAGTACTCCACTTTGATCTTCATTCTGAGCATTTTGGGATATATGTACATTAGACTGCATCACTCCCCATACAAAAAAAAAATCGGTACAGCTTTTCCATTGGAATTATAAAATCTATTATATTTTAAGACGTCCACCAAAATATTTCGGAAAAATATTAAGATTTAAGCGAGCTGGACCGATTTGAAAATACCTCCAAAAATGGAGTTTTTTATGAATAAAAATAGTTTATTAAACATGTTTTTTGAAAAAATCCCCTCAAACAACAAAAGGGTTTAAGCTTAAAAAATTTACATAAAAATATTTTTAAAAAATAAAAAAAAATTTGAACGGAATCGTAATAATGAGATTTTTTATGCTGTTTTTTTTAACTTTTTTCAAAGATTGGTGTAAGAAAAACTTGAATAACTGAACCTTAACTCTTTCGATTTAGACTTTTGAGGTACCCTTTTTATTTCTTTGCTAATAAAGTCATTCAAAGGATGAAAGAGAAAGGCAGGATGAACGAACATCACTCAAAGTTGAATTACTATGTGTTGTTATTTGACAAAAAAAAAAATTGGGACACGAATGACTTTTTTTGCACATAAATAAAAATAATGGGAAAATACCTTTCTACTGAGGCCACATAAGCCTAAATTAGTATAGTTTTGACACAGTTATCTAAGTTTTTCGTAAATCAATCTTTGAAAGGAGTAAAAAAACAACATCAAAAGTCTCATTATTAAGATTCCGTTGAAAAGATTTTTAAATATTTTTATGCAGATTAACCTAATATGTTTTGTCATCTGAGGGGACTTTTTTCAAAAAGTTCTTTAATAAACTATTTTTATTCATAAAAGACTCCACTTTTGGAGGTATTTTCAAATCGGTCCAGCTCGCTTAATTCTTAATATTTTTCCGAAATATTTTGGTGGACGTCTTATAATATAATACATTTTGTAATCCTGGCGGAAAAACCGCAACTTTTTTTTGGTGATGCAGTCTAATGTACATACATGTATGTGCATGAGGGTGGTCCAACAATGCTTTAGAAAAAATAACCCATGTTTTTTTTTTTTTTGAGATCAAAAAATTTTTCAAGGTCACACAAGCACTTATGTTTTCCTTGTACATATTTTAATGGGGAAAAAACTAGTGTTCGTAGAAATTGAACAGGGTTCTTGAAAATCAATATTTTTCGATCGGAAAACTGTGTTTCTCTTCAGGATACTTCCAATAACAATAGCGAATTGTTTATTATTGAATAAACCTGAAAATTCAATACAATTCTTCTGAATTTGACCTTGGGATAAGCTTGGCATAGCTTCTTGATGACCTTGAGGAATCAAGGGACCTCCATATTCAGATTCAACGACAGCAAAAAAAGAAAAAAATATTTTTGTTGAATAAATTGTTTGTAATATTTGATCCTCAAATGACCTCCAACCTGACGTGATGAAGGCTAACGGACATCGGATTCGCAATCAGGGTGTCGAATAACATAGGGATATAAAGTTTGGTTTTATATGCATATTTTTTTTTTGTAACCCTGTGTTTTATACCATTTCTATGAAACTTGTTTTTCCCATATAAAATACATGGAAAACTTTGAGTGCTTTGAGCGACCTCTAAATATTTTTTGATTTCAAAACAGGGATATATTTTTTGGGTATAAAACAAAACTAGGGGGGCGAGGACATTAAAATTCTGACTATATCTTTTTTTTTGACCACCCTAATGTACATATTGTACATATACATATGTCTATATCAATCTCGATTCCTTAAGACTGTTACAAACAACAGTTATGCGAACAAAGTTATAATACCCTTGTCCACTCCGGCACTAAAAAGATAAGCTTGCTTTATTCACTGGCCTGTTTTTTATTTCTTTTGTTCCCGAAAAATAGCGACATAACTGAAAGCTTAAGAGAGCATTATTTCAATCTTTTTAAATGTCACACAATTGACCCAATAAAAAGACAGAATATGCGGCCTATTTTCAACAAATTCATTAGCTCTATTGATTTTATAAGTATGAATGCGTGTGTGTCTATTTGTACTTACCTCCACCTTCTGCAGCACTTTGTCCAGTCCGGTGATTGTTAAATCTTGTTCTTTCAATTCAGTCGTCTCCAGCGTTTCCGGTGTAACACGCACGCCCGGCACAAATTTCAATGACATAACATCCGATAAACCATTTGGCAGCTGAGCCTGCAAACCGAACAGCAACAACAACAACAACAAGAATTAAAGGAAGAACTCATAAATACTATGTGCACTACATGATTGTCACAAAGTAACAAGAGCAACAACAACAACAACAACAACAACAACAATAAAAGTGTGAAAAACCGCACCTCCAAATCGAAGTGGACATCATTAGTCTTCACAAGGCTAAGCACTTCATTGAAATCCGACGACAGTTCAATCTGACACGCATAGCGTCCGGTGTCGGCCTCAAAAATGGGCGTTACCACATAATGTTCGAGTAGCTGTTGGCCCAAGGACTTCTTCGATGTTAGGCGACACTTGAATAGCTTCACCGCGGGTATGCGTTCAAGGGCACTTGAACATTTCGAAATATTTCTGGCGAGCTAACGAGGTGGCAAAACGACACCGGAAGAATTGGAAGAAAAAGAAAATAAAAATAAAATGCAAAAAGCAGAAATAAATAAATAAATGTGGAGATATAAGCAAGCAAAAAAGATGAAAAAGTTACTTCCTTACTATTTTTTTACAAGCACAAGCGAATTTAAATTGCACAAAAATGTTACAGCAAAAGTTACTTTACAAAAGTATGTAAATGCGCTCATTGCGAATCAATGCGCTGAGTGGCTGTACTGGCGGGCACAACTAAACTTGCATTGATGCTTATTTACTACATATGTATGTATGTATGTATGTATGTATGTATATGTATAAACTATTATTGGGGTTCACTTACCAAGTTGGTAAACTTATCCACTTGCAAATGATTGCGCACAACCAAATGTCCTCGATACGTTGAACCGCTAAATATATCGAAAGATTTCAATAATTGAATCTGCAAAGTATACAAACAAACGAAAAAGTTAACGTAAAAGTTTACAACAAGTGCCGCACTATATCACACGTACATCTGTATGTATGTAGGTATGTAAGTGTATGCTGGTAAAAGGACAGACATACATAAATGAAAAATTTCCAATGAACGAAATATTTTAACTAAACATTGCATTGGCGGAGCAAACGGGCTGACTGACGGACGAAGGGACGAAGGACGGTCGGTCGATTGATCGCTAAAGTATGCCGCAAACCCGCACAACTCAAATAGACATTTGCAAAGTGCATATTTTTTCAGATTTTTCCCCATTTTCTCATTTTTCCAGACTATTGAATTTCTTTCAACTTTTGCGAGTGCTACTTACCACATCCGCATCACGAACTTCGACATCGTATTTTATGGAACTGCCACTTGCTTTATCGCCGTTGGTAACTACAATTTTTTCGCCCAATTTCAAGCGATTGCCCAGCACTTGCGCTACTCCTGTAATAAAAATGATAGGAGAATGAGTAAGATTGAGCGCATGTACATATGTATGTACATATGCATAAGTATGTAAGTATGCATGTTTGTGTGGAAAAATAAGAACTTTGAATATTGTTGAGAATTAAAGTTTGATTGCTTATTATAGTTATTTGTTTGCCATTAGTTAGTTGTTCTTAGTTGGCCTCAAAACAAAGATTGTACAGTGACTATGTAAAGCACAGAAATTATTTTTTCAAGCTTAACTCGATTGAAATTTAAGATTTTATGCTTTTTAAATTTAAAGACTTAAAAGTATGTCATGGGTATTTAAAATTGTACATTTACTATCTTTAGAGTAGAATTTCGACGGTCCGTGCGATACCGATTAGGCTCAAAATATTAATATAATTAATATATTAATAGTCGATAACGATTACTAAGTCGATACAGAATCGATAACTATTACAAATTCGATGGATATTGCAATGCGATAACTATTACATAGTCAATAATTATTACAAAGTCGATAACTATCACAAATTCGATAACTATAACCAAGTCGATAGCTATTACAAAGTCGATACATCACATAAAGACAATAAGTATTACAAATTCGATAACTATTACAAAGTCGATATCTATTACGAAGTCGATAACTATTACCAAGTCGATAACTATTACCAAGTCGATAGCTATTACAAAGTCGATAGCTATTACAAAGTCGATAGCTATTACAAAGTCGATAAATATCACAAAGTCGATAACTATTACAAAGTTGATAACTATTACAATGTCGATAACTATTACAAAGTCGATAACTATTACAAAGTTGATAACTATTACAATGTCGATAACTATTACAAAGTCGATGACAATTACAAAGTCGATATAGATAAGTGAAATCAGTCATTTCATGCCGTTTGACATCAGTGATAATTTACCTTTAAATGAGCGTGTCATTCGTTCAACTTCATCAACCAAAAGGTAAACAGTTTTGTCGTTAGCTGATGATGGTAGAACGATTTAGAGATGCAATCAGTTAGAAGTAACTAGCCACTTAAGCACTAGAGAAGAAATTACTTATTAAATTACTTATGCCACTTTCAAAATAAACAGCTCAATTTAGCTTGGGTTGTCGGTCTCCTCAAAGAGCAGATAATCACACTACAGTTATACCCGCTGTAGTATCTCTTGCTTGAGTAACTTAGTGGGTCGTATGAATAAAAAGTAACCAATTGCTTTTTCTTAAAATTTCAGACCTTTTACTTAAATAAATTTAAAAAAACACACGGTCCAATAGCTTAACATTCTCAATTTTCCTGGCTGCAAAAACTATTTTACTTATAATTTTCCATTCACAGTACTGAACTAGCATTTTTGATTGATTAAAGAATTCTCAAGGGTTGCAACCATAACGGGGTTTTAATCTCGATCCTCTCGAAGATGCTGGTTGAGAAGCTGTTTTCGAAACAAATTGGACTATTATGGGCGAGATGTCGAAGGCTACTACTACTGTTTAACCTTTGCATCAGTAAGGGAAGGCAGCTAAGAAAGAAATTGATGACATGATTCCACCTTATACTTGGATCGTATTTCTCAGATATAAGTACACAGGTTCTCAAAGAAACTACTTCCTTTAACCCTTCTGAGTCACAGAACCTTTTTTTTATGTATTCAGACGCGAGCGAGATAATTCATATCATCCCACTTCGATCCATTCGAGAAAATATTAATATTGCCTCTGCGCCAGAAGCTACTCTTTTTCCACTTATCTTTTGTAGGGCGAAGTGGGTGGAGACCGATTCGAATTATTCATTGGGACACACCCTTCCATTCATTTAAGTACGAAGTCGAGGCTACCAAGGATTGTCCAATACCTACTCGCAAGCTGTGTTGGATGAAACCGCCTTGCCAGCGACAATTTGGTCGCGAGGTGACGAGCAACCGCGAGTTGGCTCAAGAGCAGTTGCTTTAGCTACCTGTTGATTTCTCTAGCCATTATAAGTTCGATGACACTTCACTGTAACAGTACAGAACAACTGATGTTTTCTATAATCGAACATAAGGATCTGGCCTACAAGGGAGATTTTCATTCGGTGTTAAGTCTTTCTCAAACATACATACATCCCTTTTCAAAAACAAGAACACAATCTATTAAACTGCATTCATATGAAAATAAATATGTATGTGTGTATATCGCCTAGAGATTTCCGTTTGCTCAAGTTTAATGCGTATAAATATCGCTCGCAGCTCTTCGTAATTATTTATTATTTAGTAAATCCCAATCTGTTCAATGAACAACAGTTGGCAGGTAATTAATGATTGCATATGTATGTGCACTAAATGTAAATGTTCACCTAATCCACATATTACAATTCTTATGTGTGCGTGTGAAAACCTAATTGAGTAAATTTCTGCCAGAATTACTTATTTAGCTGTTGTTACTTTTGCACAAAATGGGGCTTTGTAGTTATACACTTTCAGTTATAGTTACAAACTATACTATTTTCTGTATGTACAGTGACGGGCAAAACTGTAACATGGTGTAACACTTTCTACTTCAGCCATCCCTACTCCCTCTCTCATAATGATTTGAAGTCAACACAACAACAATAAAAATACCAGCAAACAAAAATGTAAATTAATGCAGATGTTACAGTTTTGCACTCATATATTTTTAAGAACTTTTTAACAATCTTCACAAATAAAAAGAACTAATAACACAATGTTCAGTACTCTTTTGCTTGTTTCAGTTCCTGGATGCGATTTGGCATACCTTATTTGTATCTTTGTAAAAATTGTGGAGATATATCCTTAGTTTGCTTTCGCAGCTCATGTACTCGATTTTACGGACTTTGATACTTATTAAGCTGTGCTTTTAGTTGATTTCGCAAATTCTCGATGAGATTCATGTCCGCGGATTGTGGAGGTCATTTCAAATGAGCAAATTTTTGCTTTTGTATCCAGGCTTTGCGACATGTGCAGTGTGTTTTGAGTGATTTTTCAGCAGAAACTCTTAATTTTTTCGACTACATCTTGCAAATTTTGTTGAAATATGAACAGATACTGTTTCTTACGTAATAATACGTACTAACGGACCAACAAAATTTTTTAAATACAACCCCAAACTATTATTGACCGACCACTGTGATTCACAGTTTGCCTTACATGATGCTCATGGGCTTAATTTGGGTCTTTGATCCAATACCAAGCCCGACCATCTGATTGAAAGCGATTAATTTAGTCTTGTCAGACCAAATAACCTTCAAGTGAAACTTGAAAATATGTTTTTTATTGCATTCTGAACGGCCTAACATATCCCAATAGGCAACGGTTCGGTTTTCGTGCGATGCAGGGAAATGCTGCCACATTATGATCAAATTTGCTTTTTTCTTCTTTATGATGCCTTTGCGCTCAATTTGGCAATTCTTCGCCTCGCTGTCTATTGATTTGCGTTAAAGTTTAATACCTTAAGCGCTTCTGTAATAGTGGCTGCATCGCTACTTGCTACTAAGTTCACAAGATATCGTACCGTAATATTTTTTGACAGACTTCCTTTGTCCTTGGGAACACTTTAGGCTACATTTTTTCTCAGTCTTAACATTTTCAAGTAGCAAATTCCAAAATTTTTTGCCACTTTTCGTGCGGTCCCGCCTTTCCGCAGTAAATCTATTATTTACATTTATGGTTCCTGATTAACTATGTTATTTACTGGTGATCACTTCTCCAATAAATTACAATATAGAAAAAAGTCATCTGACTTCCAACTAAGTAAGAGATAACTGTCAAATGCAAAACTGAGAGTGAGTGCAAAACTGTAACATCTGCCTTAATTTACTTTTTTGTCTGCTGTTTTTTTTATTGTTGTTGTATTGACTTCAAACCGTTATGAGAGAGAGAGTAGGGAAGTACCAACAAGAACGTAAAACAAAAGGATGAAAGTAGAACTTGGAAATGTAGTGGTGGCTGAAATAAAAAGTGTTACACCATTTTACAGTTTTGCTCGTCACTGTATGTGCGTAAGGACACTGCTCTTTCAGTGGGCTGAATATCGCCTAGTTGCCTATTTTATTGCAAGTTATTGTGAGATTTTAGTTACATACATACAAACGTTTACAGGCCAGAGGCAGGAAGTAAGTAAAGGCAGCAATGCGCTAACTTCATTAGCAGCAAAGTCCAAAGCATGCAGCTGCGACGCACAGTGGTCCAAAACTGGAATTTACTATTTAAAATAGTCCACAGCCTTCATTCAACCGATTTTATTGAAAGCTAATAAAATTTAAAGGAGACCTTTTGAGTTAGATTTTACATTCCCCCGCCCCCCCAAACAGTTTTTTAGTGCAAAGTGCAGAAAAGGTAGCAATTTTGAAGAAAACCGATTTTCCTCTTCCTGTAATAATAAATAGTTGAAAACAATTAAATAAAAAAAATCCACCAAAGTTTAAAAATTGCTTTATGTATGAAGCCTATCAAATTTTAGTGTAAGAGAGTACAAGTTACATACAAGAGCCTAAGTATTCGCGTTGATTTTTAATCTTTTTTTTTTTGCTGAAATTTCGAAATCACTTTTTGCAAATAGATGAAAATGCCCACTACCGTAAGAAAAATAATTAAAAATAAACGCGAATTATAAGCCACTGCAAACTTGCATTATATGTATAATAATAAAATTCAATAAGCTATAAAACTTCATACCTACAACTTTTCTAAAAGTTCAAAAACGCTTTTAATTTTGGTGAAATTCATTTTATAGCATTTCAATGTTTTGTTGTGAAAACTTGTTTCGCTTTAGAGGAATCCTACAATTGTTTTCAAATAGTTTTTATTATATAACGTTTATTAATGGGGACGGGAGAACTAATTGTCTAATCTGCATTTTGCACCAAAAAAATCAACATAAACAAATAAAAATTCAAAAACAGGTATTTTCTAAAATTTATTAAGTTTTCGTTAAAAGAAAATTATCCAATCGGTTGAAAAATTAAATCAGTAAATTCCAGTTTTGGACAACTGTGCAA